CGCCGCTGCGTTCATTCCAGTCAGCATCTATGGGCTTGTGCAGTTCGGTTTGCATGTCGCATACCTCAAGAGTGCTTTAATCGGCATTTATAGGCTCGTGAAGCTGCTTCTTCCCAAACCAATAATATTGGTTCCAGTGGCGGAGCCAGGGGGTGCGAGGGGGGGCGCTCGGCCCTCCTGAAATTTGAAAATCTTGCAAATTAGTATATAAAAAATTATCTAGCCTCCCCTGAACTTTGAAAATTTTAGTATTTTGCCCTCCCTGAAAAAAATTTCTGCCTCCGCCCCTGGTTGGTTCGAATGTTGATTTAAATGAAAGAAATTCGATCTTTTTAAATACAATTTAAAGTTTAAATTTTATAAATAAAAAAATAAATGTTGAAAATTTTTTTTTTTTTATAGGTCTGATGGGGTTTAATTTTCAATTAAATAGGATGATGTAATGTAATTATCAAATAGCAGTCAAAGATTAATAATAATAAAAAAAGAACTACTTCCAGCGGATATAAAGTTGCATATTTTTATGCTTAAAATATCATCAATCTAGCTACTTGACTTTTAAATTCTGTATTAAATCTATTCTTAAATTTTAAAAGTATTAAAATCATCTTTAAATTTTATTTTTTTATATCAATTCCGTCAGTTTATTGATAATATGGCAGATTTTTCCATTATCTAATTTAATTTTTAAAATTTAAAGTGTGAAGTGGACATTTAGATGGCGGATGTGTATAGTTTTTGTGAGGGCTTAAATAGTTAAATGAATATCAATTAATTAATCTTAGATGACATTTACTATTAAATTCAATTAGTTAATAATTTATAATATTTAAAATTACAAAAATATCCATCCATTCCTTTTCTTGCCCAATTTCTCCTACGTTCTTCCATTCCATTCTTCGGCTCCGTTTGGTGAAACTGGTTAGAGGTGCAGTTTTCGGGATGCTATTTATGTTTCATCACTTTAAATTTGGCTTAATTCAAAAAATCATCTACTAATTTTTAGTTTAATTTCAGTTTTATCTATTATTTTTGAATTGTTTCAATTTTGTTTATTACCTATCACAATTATTTCAATTTCATCTAGGCAGTTAAAATTAACAGAAAATCTTAACAGAAATCTTTTTAAACCTTAGTACTCTAACTATATTTCTTTTAATCTTTTAGTCTTTAAACTTATATTCACAGTAAAAATAGTTTTTATTTTTATTTTGTTAAATGTGTTTTTCAAAAAATTGTTTTACAGAACAGATTGCATTTAGTTCACCCTGTAAAATTATTTAAATACCCTTAATTCTATTTTTATATTATTTTTTTATGAACATTTAAATAATTTTATAAGACAGATTGTACATAGTCTGTCTTATAAAACATACTTACTTTTAAAATTTTTTATTTTAAACTTACTGAATTTCTCTGTTTGAATTATAATCTATATCCATAAACTATTTTTTGATTCATCATATTTTATTAGGATTTAAGTGTCACTTTTTTAAAACTCAAAAGACTACTCTTTCCTCAAATCTAATGGCAATCTAATGTCATCTTTGTATGGTAGACTAATTTGAAATATTCTTCAAAGTTTCTAGACTATTTAGAATTGAAACAAATTTTTTAAACTAAAATAAAATTAAACTGAAAGTTAGTAGATAATTTTTTGAATTAAGCCCTTTAAATTTTTAGTTTAAAAGTTTATATTTTTAAATATTTTTTTTTATTTCAAAATAATATTTATATTTATTTACAATAATATTTA